AAGAAAGAAAGAAAGAAAGAAAGAAAGAAAGAAAGAAAGAAAGAAAGAAAGAAAGAAAGAAAGAAAGAAAGAAAGAAAGAAAGAAAGAAAGAAAGAAAGAAAGGGTAGAGCAGAGTCAGTGTATCCAGTACATCAGGGTTAGCTTCATCTGAAAGGGGCATGGAGCCCACAATGTCAGCCTCTGAGGGCTTGAGGTCCATAGGAAGCTTTGCCTTCCGTCCATACATGACCTCAAATGGAGTACACTTGGTTGAGGCATGCACAGATTTGGGATACGCAAACAGAACACCAGGGATAAATTGGTCCCAGTTGCTGCCTTGGTCATTGACAAGCTTACTAAGAGATTGTTTGAGTGTTCGATTGTTATTGGGGAAGTATCTCTCTTAGTAGGAAAATACAGCAGCCCCAGAAAGCAGACCTGGGGGGTTAATCTGGCCTGGGGGGTTTATTCTAGCCTAGGCCAGAGTAACCCCAGGGTTACTCTGGCCGGGGGGGTGAATCTGGCCTGTTACAGCCGGCCAGATTAACCTGGGGTTACTCTAGGCTAGGCCAGAATAACCCCTCCGGGGTTATTCTAGGCTAGGCCAGAGTAACCCCGGGGTTACTTTGGCCGGGGGGTTAATCCGGCCTGTTACACCGGAGCAAAAAGAACTGCGGGAGCGTGATCTGACGTGCCCCCATGGCTCCGTGCTCCGGCAGCCAATCACACGTTGTGCAGCAAACCGGTTGTAGCGCGGTTGTGCACATGCGTGGGATGGGGAACGGTGCTGGCTGCGACAGGCTACCAGTGCTTCCCCGACCAGACGCCTGGAGTTGCTGCGCATCATCCGGAAGGTAGTGCTCTGTTGCTAGTACCTTTTACATGCACATTTTCGGGCTGAAGGGACGGATCGGGGACGGGTGTGTGACGCTTCCCAGATGTTGCGGTGTGATTGTGCCCACTTGATGTGCCCCCGATCCATCCCTCTTGCGCAGCAAATCCTCCCGTGTGACCGGGGCCGAAGTTAGGCACATCTAAATCCACTTACATGAATGGGCTTAGCAACGTTTGAGTCCAGTGGTGCCTTTAAGACCAACAAAGTTTTATTCAAGGCATAAGTTTTTGTGTGCAAGCACACTTCTTCAGATACAGTGAAACAGAATTTCCTCAACCATTACATATAGGAAGAGAGAGGGTGGGAATCGGGGGGGTTGCCAGGATGGGCTAGTTAGAATCAAGATGCATATGTAAGTGGACGATTATAGCCGAGACTGGATTAAAGATCTGTGAATAGCAGTAAAATAGCATGCAAATACAAGAGTTGACAAACAGATGTGAGAATGAAGTTTTGAGTCCAGTGGCACCTTCAAGACCAACAAAGCTCAATTCTGGATACATGCGAGAACTGAGAACCTGCACTGTCCAGGTGTGTAGATGCACACTCCTTTAGATACCATCAGGGCTTTTTTTGTAGAAAAAGCCCAGCAGGAACTCATTAGTATAACAGGCCACACCCAACAGCAGAAACTCATTAGCATATTAGGCCACACCTGGACAGTGCAGCTCATTAGCATATTAGGCCATGCCCCATTCTTTCCCTTGGCTTTAAATGCCTCCCCAATCCTTCCAGGCCCCCCCAGGCCCACCAGCCTCGGAATTTCTGGGGGGGGGGTCGCTCTCCAGGCCTTCCCTCTGTAGCCATGCATGCAGAAGTTTTGGCTGTAGTGGGCGTGGCCAACTCTGAAGCCAGCCGGAACTCCGTTCCTGTGCGTTCCTGCCCCAAAACAGCCCTGGATACAATGAAACAGATTTCCTCAAATGTTACCTATAGGTGGGGGGGGTTTAGTTGCTAGGATTAGCTCATTAGAGTCAAGAGGCATAACTGAGCAATAAATACAGCTAAGATTGAAAGGTACCACTGGACTCAAGACTTTGTTCTCACATTTGTTTATTAACTCCTGTATTTGTATGCTAAAATTGTATTTTGCTGCTCTTAAAGGTGCCACTGGACTCAAACTTTGTTCCGCTGCTTCAGACCAACATGGCTACCCACCTGAATGAATGGGCTTGAAGCACATGTAATTGTGTATCTGACTGCAGCTTTAGACAGGATCCAGGTGGTAAGGTTTATATTCTTAACGGCACAAAGAAGCATTTTGGTTGCAACCACAAATGCATAAAGCAGCCCACAAAGCATACAATCAGATCCATGTGGTCTTCTTTTGAGACAATGAAAACTTATGCTCAGTGCAACACAGTACTTGCAAACAATAAAAGATCATCAGCTCAATAAGAGACAAGAGTTTAAGAGATGGAGGGAGAATATTAACTACTGTCAGCAAAGTTCTTGAGGGATTACAAAGAGTTCTGTGTATGTTCTTTTCAAAACTACAAGTCAGCTTTGTTGCACTGAAAAAAAGCTATTACCTGAACCATTGGATGTCCCCCGGCAGATGCCTTCACAGCCCCTCGACTCCCTTCTGTTTCGTAATGGGCTCTGTGATGGGACTTGGGCTGCACTTCAATCCGAAGTTCATAAGGTCCTGAGTGAGACGGCAACTGCCAATCCAGAGCAGGCAAGGATGGGCTGTAATGGAAAACGACAGGGATTAAATATTAACACACATACTATCATAAACCACAAGAATCTCGTGCTATTACTTTAGAGACCATCTTTAGCAGTTCATCCTTCACCATCTTACATCTGAAATTTCATCAATGGAGATAATGGCATGACATAAGTAATTTAAAAGGCAATGGTTATTTTATGAAGATTTATGGACGATGCAGATTTGATGAGCCAGGAGCTATCAGATGCTTAAACAAAATGGAAAAACATTTCTAAAGGTGGTTTTTTTAATCCACTTAATGCATCGATCCATTAATCAAAAAGTACAGAGGTGATCAGTAAGAAATGGAAAACCTGTAAGTGCAGTTCTACTCTGAAATGGACTTTGGGGAGTACCAGTACTTCAGTGTATTCAACTTCCATTCAACCAAGTTTATATTTTGCTCACATACCAGCAGCCATCAAAATTTTGCTGTCAATACTTAACTTCTATAAACCTCCCTGTCAGCACAAGACTGACCAAACATGTCTCCCTTTCTGGGGCCAACATTGTTACATAAACATTAGGTGACCTGAAAGCAATTTATTTATTTATAACACTTTAAACCTGTCTTTCTCTAAAAGGGATTCAACATGGCAACTGGGAATCTGATCACTATGGAAGCTATTCCCTAACAATCTGAAGCTATATCTGAAACACAAATATCACTAAGAGTGCATCTTTCCTATCCTCAACCTAGGAATAATTTACGATAAGTGTCCTCGACCTGCTGTGTGGTTCCCTGCCTACTTGTACCACAGCCTGTCTACATTGCTGGACAAGAGTGATTGTCAGAAATGAGCTCTCTACCAGTCATTCGACACCTGTTTTTTTCAGAGTCTTCTGTACGCACCTAGCTGAAGTACTAACATGGATTCAAGGGAAAGTCCCATGAAGACACAATCATCTCAAACACTCTTTTGATGCATGCCTGACAAAGAGTTAATAAATATATACAGCTCAAAAAATGGTCTTGGAGAAGCTTGGTAGAGATGATGTGAAAATAGTGCTTACTCTGAATTCTGCTTGAGGAGAAATATGAGCCCAAGTGACAGCACGAAACTGACAATTTCAAGTTCATGCTATTATTATAAGGAAGTGGTAGCCAACTTTTTTTTTTTAAAGTGTGCCATAAATCTCAAGTGTGAGCTACTGTACATATAAGACTTCCTGTCCTCAACTGCAAAACTAGCTTTATAATGAGCTGGGAAGCAGGTAACAACACAGCTCTAACGAGGAAGACAGAAGTATATAACCACCTGACCATGCCTTATATTTATTTATTTATTTGATCGATATTTAGCCCTCCCTCCCTGCAAGCAGGCTCAGAGCAGGTTAAAACATAGTTAAAATAATGCATAATAGACATATAATACAAGGTTAAAATATAAATATGGTCATCTATAATATTATAAAATACCAGTACAAAACATTCCTAACCATTACTGAAACATTACTAAAACATTTGATGGTATCTACCACACAAATCTAATTGTGGTAGCTGTAGGTGGAACCATACAGTGCAAATAGGTGGTTGAGGCTCTGCCAAGGTGGGATAAAACAGGGCAGAGCAGGGGAGGCCATTAGGGATGAGTTGCTGCTGCTTCAACATAGGCCTGGTGGAACATCTCCATTTTACAGGCCCTGCGGAACTTCATTAAACCCCGCAGGACCCGGATCTCAACTGGCAGAGTGTTCCACCAGGCCGGCACCAGAGCTGAGAAATCTCTGGTTGAGGCCAGGCGTACATCTTCTGGGCCGGGGATAACCAGCAGATGTTGATCAGAGGAGCACAAAGTCCTTCGAGAGACATAGCCAAGATTATGGACCTTCCTGCTGTTATCCCGGTATGTCACATACTTCTGTTGTCCAAACTATATGTAGCACAGATTGGCTACCTATACCTCAGAAATGATAAGTTAGAATACAGTTTACCAGTGAACTGTTGACCATTTTTTCAGAATATGATCTATGGGCTGCTGGGATTCCAGCAAATTTATTTATTTATTTGGTTCAATTTATATTCTGCTTATCCTGCAAGTGGTCTCAGAGTGGGTAACTTCAGTAGAAAATATCCAGACAGTTTAAAATAATCATATAAACAATAATAGTTAAAAACAGTTAAAAGAAAGTTAACCTAAGTGGCAATAATTTCTAAATCCCGCGGCATTAAAACAGCAGCAAAGAGAGGGCTTGCCAGGTGAAAGTACAATAACAAGTCAGTCATGTGGGCAGGTTTCAAGGGGCGATGCTTAGATATGTAGACTTTGATCCAATCAAGCAAGGCACTCATATTTTTAAGCATATTCATAACCATTTAGCACAGATTAGTTGTGCCCTAATTCAGGGTCCCCAAATTTGTTGAGCCTGTGGGTACCTTAAGGAAAAGGTAGTAGGCACCACCACAAAATGGCTGCCATTGGGGAGGGGTAATCACAAAATTTAGAGAGGCTCCAATCCAAGGATTCTCCTACGATGGAGGCAGCTTTTTCCGGACTGGTGTTTCCTGTGAACCCTGAGATGATGATTCCTGAGCTTTTCTGAAGCACTTGCTACTCCAGGGAGAAGATGGAAAGCCAAAACTGGCTCTTTGCATTGGGGAAGAAACAAGTGGGTGCCAGAAAACACACTGGTGGACACCAGTTAAGAACTACTGTCTTAACTGCTAAACAGATCAGGCTTACGAACTCTTGCTTTGTGAAACTAGTGAAGCATAGTATTTGCTTGCTCCTAGCCTTCTTGAAAACAATTGAGGTGGGTGGAGCCTCAGTGTGATCATGTAATATATAATTATGTCAAGAACATGTACAGCAACTTTTATTCTAATATTTGAATCTTCAAGTAAGATATCACACTATATTTTATATCCTTCTTAACCCTCTTGAAACCAAGCATTGGGGGTAAACAAGGATTCATCTCCAGAATACAGAAAGTTGCCCCAAACATGCGCACCAACTTTTATTTCAGTGTCTCAGTCTTCAAGTGAAGTCAGCCTCCTGTTGTAGTAACCTACAAGCACCTCAGTTCTTATTTGTGAATTCACAGAATAGAGACACACAAGTTGGAAACATGTTAAGGACCTTCCCCCACCCTGTGATTGCGTTAGGGGAAAACCGGCTAAGGTACAACCAGCAGACATCTCCTCCCCAACCACAGTCAAAACCATAATTATTTTTAAAGAGAAAACCAAAATGCTCATAACTGGAGCACACTACCATATTACATTGCTAATGCATTTAGCAACTTGAGGTGACTACCATTAATCAAAAACACTTAGCAAAATCTGAAAGGCCAATCTACTGTCTTGTGTTGCTCACAATATATGTTGCAGTTTGAAATGTTCTTGGATAACTTTCTGGAGAAACTTTGCTTGACTGCACCAGAAATCTGCATAACACAGAGCACCTGCGCATCTCCTGTTGACGATCACTGAATATCATAAAGCAGATGATTCTGTTTATGTCATGTCAAAATGATGGCTTTTTTCCACCCCTTCTCTCCCTTGCCCTGCAACTGAGGACAAGATATATATCAGATAATGACATCTGCAGAGTAATTTTTTAAAAAAATCCTTCCATCATCACAAAAATATTCTCTCCAAAGTTCAAATTTGCCTTTAACATTTAAAGGAAAATGAAAATAAAAATAGGAAAATGGCTGATTTAAAAACAACAACACAAAACACTCCTTTTTCCTGTTTTGATCTCAGAATGGCACCTGAAACGTTGATTAAAAGAAAGTTGTTCATTCCATTACAAGGCAGCCATAAAATTCAAGCCTACAACCCATCATTAAAATTCTTTTGCAATTTACAAGCCCTGACCAATAATAATAAGCGTACAATTAACTGTAGTTTTCCTGATAGAGGAAGCGGCATGATGCTTTTAACAGCTCCATGGGCTGTGGCTTGCCAGTGCGATTTCCTATTCTAGGTTATCTTCATTGTACACTTAATTTCCTGCAGCACAGCAGAGTTAAAGGAAGAGATACTGAGCATATATTTAGATTTTAAACGCTCTTTGTGAAAAGTGGGCCCCCCATGATTAGACAGACTCCAGCCATGCCACACAGGGATATTACCCATAAAGAATACTTGAGGCAGATGTGCAAGGAGTGTAGTGGAAGATATTACCTTATCACATACTAGGTTCTTAAATTTAAAGTGTACACTTAGAAATGTAAATGGTAAATGAGACAAATGTGCTTGAAAATACTTGCTTCTTACAAATACACTTATTGAAGCATCAGGATTGCTTGTACTACAGTCAAACAAACCATTTCTGTGTGGAATGTCCTTTCCTTAGCATGACCGTATGACTTTCACTAGAACTAGACTGGCTTCCACTAGTAGAGCCAGTTTGGTGTAGTGGTTAAGTGTGCGGACTCTAATCTGGGAGAACCGGGTTTGATTCCCCACTCCTTCACTTGCAGCTGCAGGATGACCTTGGGCAAGGAAAGAGCTCTCTCAGCACTCCCTACCTCACAGGATGTCTGTTGTGGGGAGGGGAAGGGAAAGGAGTTTGTAAGCCGCTCTGAGACTCTAAGTGAAGGGCGGAGTATAAATCCAAACTCCTCCTCTTCTCAAACCTGTGATTTCTCAGTAGGGTTGTCAGGTCCTCTCATCATTCCGGGACATCCCCAACATGATGACATCACCCAGAAGTGACGTCATCATGCCAAGGACATTGCGCAAGCCTGCTCTGGTTAAAGGCCAAAACTCTATGGTAAAACTGGCTTAAAACCATAGAGTTTTGCTCTTAAAACAGAGTGTCCCTGGTGTGATGATGTCACTTCCATCATCATGTCAGGGAAGTCATGTGGGGGTGTGGCTGTTTGGGGGTGGGGAGAAGCCCCGAAAACTAGGAGAACCCCCACTCCAACCTGAGAACTGGCAAGCCTATTTCTCAGCTACTGAACTGTAGTACTCTTCCAAGGTTAATTTGGCTGTGAAGCAGACCACAGACATATAAATATTAGG